TGTGTGTGTGTGTGTGTGTGTCAGTGTGTGTGTGTCAGTGTGTGTGTGTGTGTGTGTGTGTGTCAGTGTGTGTGTGAGCTGACCTGAGTGTCCTTCCAGCTGGTGATGAGGCTGATTTCCAGTTCAATCTGAGTCTGATGATCTTCGTCGATCTGAAACAGAACCACAGGTCAGCGGGTTCTCCTAAATCAGAACCTCCATCAGAACCACCGGGTTTCTTCAGGTTCTCCTGCGGGTCGATCCACCTCAAACACGTCCAGGTAGTTGTCGATCAGATCCTCCACGATCTTCACCTCGTGCTCGCCCTTCCCGTCAGTCTGGAACAAGCTGGGAGCGAACAGCAGCGACAGGTTCTTGGTGCACATCTGGTTCAGGTCGGCGCACTTCTGGACCCTGATGAAGAGGAGACTGGTCAGAACCGGCAACTGCTCCCCGCCGCCAAAGCTGCTGATGATGAAGACCCTGACCTGTAAAGATGGCTGATGAGCGCAGCCAGAGTGGTCCGGTTGACCCGAGGAAGGCTCCGGATGATCTCCTTGTAGTGGTCCAACCGGGAACGCTTCTGAGGAAGTTCTGAACGGGAAACAAGATCGTCGATCAGGATTCACTGCTCCAAGCAGCCAGGTTCTGGTTCTGTTTCCATGGTAACAACTTCATTAAAGCTTAACCCAACCAGAATCCTCTAGCAAGCTAGCTTCATATTTAGCTAGTTAGCAAGCTAAATATTTAACTCAGATCTAAACATTTAATTGGCAACTTCTTTGCAAATTATACTAGCAAGATAAATATTATTCAGCAGGCTAGCTTGCTAGCTAAATATTTGGCAAATTGTACTTTGGAAAAAATTTGGAAGAATTAAGTAGAAAGCCCTCCAAAATGTGATTTTCTAGTGGAAACTCTGACTACCCCCAGTTGCAACTGAAGGCGGACGTCATGTTGCTGTGGTGGAAGCACGTTTTACAACACATGTAAAAGTGAGTCTAAAGTCAAGAAGTCAAGTTACATGTAGCGCCTGCGATGATAAACTGAACAAATCAACAGTGGTGATTAGTTATGGAAAGTAAAGCTTAAAGTTCTCCAGGCAACTGGCGTAATATTTGGCTAACATCTAAACAGTCGGCAACTAAATGTTTAGTGAAAAATGTAATGTTTCATTTGAAAAATAAATAGTTAGCAGGCTAAATATGTAGCATCCTAATTAAATATTTAGTTAGCTTGCTAGTTAAATATTGATATTGAAACTGAAGTTTGTAACATAACCACTATGTTTGTTTTTTTCTATATAAAATACATTTAAGAGAAAATGTAACAGTGATTTGGATAACGGTTG